CTCACCACCATCGTTTTCATCACCGTCGTTTTCACCACCATCGTCCTCACCACCATCGTTCTCTCCACCGTCGTCCTCACCATCGTCGTTCTCGCAGGCGTCCTCTTCATCTTCCTCACCATCATCACCACCGTCATTCTCTTCATCATCTTCATCTCCACTGCCCGGTGCCTCTTCTTCCTCATCCTCGTTGTCGCAAGCATCACCGTCCTCACCGTCCTCACCGTCCTCACCGTCCTCACCGTCCTCACCGTCCTCACCGTCCTCACCGTCCTCACCGTCCTCCCCACCTCCTTCTCCCGGTGACTCTTCCTCTTCCTCTTCATCCTCGCTCCCGTCCTCGTCCTCGTTCTCGCAGGCGTCATCGTCGCCGGTCTCCTCATCATCTTCATCTCCTTCTCCCGGAGACTCTTCCTCTTCGTCTTCGTCTTCCTCGTTCTCGCAGACATCATCGTCACCGTCCTCACCCTCGCCATCCCCGTCGTCGCTGTCGTCATCTCCTCCATTGTCGCCGTCATTGTTCCCATCGTCTCCACCGTCTCCACCGTCTTCACCATCTTCGGGATCATCAACACAAGTGTCCTCTTCTTCCTCATCCTCGTCGTCCTCAATAGGCCCTTCAACGGGGGGCTCCCCATCGTCTTCATCTTCGTCCACGGGGGCCTCTACGCAGACATCCTCTGCTTCTTCCTCCTCTTCTTCCTCTTCTTCGTCTTCTCCGGCCTCCTCCTCGTCTTCCTCCTCCTCACAGGAGTCGGCTTCCGTTTCTGTACTGGCCGGCACGGAGATGGTGGCAGTGATGTCGCCAATGATGGAAGAAACGTCGCTCTGGCCGGCGGAGAGGGCGCAGGTGATGGTGGCAATCCAGTCTCCCGTGCGAATTTGTTCATCAATGTCCCCTAGGATAGAGGTAATGCTGCTGGCCTGCTCGGAGAGAAGAGAGTTGGCATCCGCGATAAGGTCGTCCACGTTGACGTCCTGGGCGGATGCTGTCGTGGCGACGGCCGCAGCCGCGGCCACGACCATTAATGGCTTGGGGATCATCGTGATCAGGTTGCTGATGCAGAAAAAAGAAAAAGAAATCAAAAAACCCGATGCGGAGTAAAGGTCGGATGTTTTAGGTGAGTGTAAGAAAAAAAGGAAAGAAAAGAGGGGTGGCTTAAAGGGCCTTGTGTAAGGCGTGGCCGTAGATGCCAACTCCTCTATGTTCTTCGTGTACGAGAGAAACGAGAACCGGTAGGGGTTTTTTCCTTTTCCTTTTTCTTTTTTCGGTGGACGGCAAACCGGGGAAAAGAGGGAGAAAGAGATCTACTTTTTACAGGACAGCATCTCGCTTTTGACCAGCAACGACAGCACGCGACGGAGTCGGCGACGGAGAAAGACAGGGAGGAGGGAGATGCCATGCCGGAGAAGGTAAGGTCTTGGCCAACCTGTTGCCCCCCCAGGGGGGTGGGTAGAGAGCCGGACGCCTCCATGGGCTCTCACATTACCATCGGAATTATCTAATTCCTACCCACGCCAGGATCATCACAGCCCTGTTCATGCTCGGCTTACCCTTTAGTCCCGCATCAGACTAGTGTAGTGGACAAGACGGCGGGCGAAGAAGAGAATAGAAGAAGATAGGGGGCAGTAAGTAAACGGCGACCGGCGAGGCTAGCGACCGGTAAGAGGCAATATTGGTTTATTAAGATGACCTAGTCTGAATACTAGTATAAGAATTTATTTCTTGTCTAGGTTATGTTGTGAGAGAGATATGCGATGTATTAACTTTGGGCACCGAGTTGCGTTGCACCATCTTGCTTGGGTTGGTTGACTGTGACTGTGTGTGAGCGAGCTGTCAATTCGTGGATCGCCCGTCGCCCCCAGCGCCACACTTGTTGTCATGGGAGCCTGTGGCTAGTGCGCAGCATAATCACAAAACAGCCAATCATAGATGAATCTTAGACAGGGGTGGTGGGGGGCTGTGATGATTAATGGCCTGGGTCCGCTTCCTGTTCCTATTTCGGACATGTTCCTTGATGTATTTATTTCCGTCGCGTTACGGCGCTTCTCCTTCAGTTCTTCCACCTCCCGGTGAAGCACGCGGCCCAACATCGAACATAGATCCCCGAGCCGAGTAACGCCGCTTTCCTCGACGTTGCTTTTCTTTGCAATGCGCGTCTAGGGCCATTTAATCTTATTTATTGTGCTACCAAGGACTAGGTCCGTACGTTCGTTGTTTCGTCGTGCTCTTGCCCGAAAAAAACCCCCCCCCGAAAAAAACCGCTATCAATGTCTCTCGTGCTTCGTTGCTTCGCCAGCCGATATCGATCAATTCATCGAACAAAAAGCGCTCTTATTCAGTAAACGATGTATTTGGCCTCCGTTGTGTTTGGTCCAGAACGATTACCTCTTCTGTGCCCGTGCCATGACGGATGACACGGTCTCGCCGTAATTCGTCTTTCTAAGGAATCGGACTTGGCAGCTGCGGAATGAGATGGACAAGCAAGATTCCTTCTTACCTTATTTTTAGAATTACTGCGGAGACTTAGGTACGTACACTACAACATCCATCAAGAATGAGCAGGTAACCCCTCTCCCTGCTTCTTCCTATCGGCTACGCCGGTGGTCATCTACAATCTGCAATAGGGACAGAAATCTTGCACGTCGTGAGATCGATGCTGGTCCCACGCGGTTTTGTAACCTAAATCCTCAAATCCCAGATTCCCCGGTTCTACTTGCACAATGGTGGACGAACCTCAGAACTTGATCCCTATTCCAAAACACACGACTTTCAAAGGGCGCACACCCAATCTTTCACGTGATGGCGTCGGGACGTGGTCGATGTGGACTATCCCTAGGCAAAGTAGACCTCGGTCTACGTGTAGAAGGTCGCGGACCAGGACGAATGCCAAGACTGAACCACTGACAACCGGGCAGACAAACACACTCCCTTCGAGTCAGGAATACTCTCCATTCCCGGGGGACAAGACCTTGTCATAATACGTGTTCTATGTTTATATGTTTATATATCCTGCACTTCTGATACATGGTGTTGGCACTAAGGCTATTGACAAGGAGAAAGAAGAGAAATGAAAAGGATAAGGTAGGGAGGCTGCCATTAGCCCGTGTTTTCTCTGCACCTACGGCAGCCAGAGACTATTGGCAGCCCCCTGGACACAAGAGTACTTTTGATAGCTCTTTCGTGCAAGTTACTCTGAGAGGTGAGATGAGTCTGAGCTTCTCGATATGTAAAGAGGCATCCCATGTTCCTAACCCCAGACTCTGGGTTTTAATGGATAAGGTACAGTGGGGGGCAATAAGTGTTGTATGAAACGAGTCTACTTCGTACTTTTAACTTTATTTCCAAAAGGTTGACAAATACGGATACGAGCGAAAGGTTGGATGCTGCCACCTGGGACGGAGTACCCATGCCAAGACACCGAGATGGATGATATTGAATTGGAACGAATGATTGGTCAAAGCTCAATCTACACGTCCACGTACGAACCTGGAAGACACAAGAGAACCACCAAAGACACTGGATCCATCCTCAGGCTTCTGAACCCACAAATTTCCTTACAACTTCTCTGTTCTTTCCGTCGTAAATTTGATGACATTACTGCGACTTTTATTCTTGCGCTGGCTGAACTCATCCAACTCAAGCTCTCCCGGAATACCGGGGAACATGACCTATAGGGTATCAAGCTGAGAACACAAATTTCTTGGGTGAGCTCGGCCCCACACCGCTACCAGAGTATTGCGACGTCATTGCATTGCGATTTTTTTTTTTTTTTTTGGCGCTGGCAGCACACTCTGTATTGTGCATACAATAGTCTCCTCTCTCTAACCACGACCAAAGGCGGAGGAGGGCGGTGCGAAACTACCATGTTATACCGTGGAGGTTCTGCCCGGGGACTTCTCCGAGATGTCCGCTTATCACCCTCCTGCTCCCTCTGCATCCCCGTTCGCAGGCCGACTCCCACTCTCGACAGCTCCGCGAAGACAAGCCACTTTTTCCGTACAACGACCCCGACGCGTGCTGCTTCACAATGGCCCGATGCCAACGATAAGCAAGCTCAGAAACAGCAACCCCAACCTCCGTTACCCGTATCGCAATTGCTAGCCCGCGAGGCCCTTCTCAACAAGCTCTCCCTCCTTACCCCGGCGCAAATCACCACCCTCCTCTCGACCCCTGCCGATGCCCTCCCATCGTCTCCAACATCGCGCTCCTCCGGCCGCCGGAGAATTCCCCGGCGGCTGGTGACGGTCATCGTCGTCTTGGTCGCCACAGTTACCGGCTACAATACAGGAGTCAACCTGGTGAACGAATCGGTGCTCCGGTCTTTCGTGCCCGGTCCCGTCGAGTGGGGAGACAGCGACGACGATTTAGACGAAGCCGGAAACGACGGCCAAGGAGGCCGTAAGACGGAGGGCCTCTCCGTAGGCGACAGGTACCTGGCCCCCAACGTGCGTGCCATCACGGCCTGGGACCTGTCCAACTGGTACCCCATAACCGGCACGATCCTCCCCACCAGCTTCGACGAACTATACCCTCCCCCCATCACCGTCTTCGACCACACCTACAACAGCGCCGATCCGGACGCCGGCCTCGTCCCCTCCAACTGGGCCGCCCACGCGGTCCCCGTCGCGGCGGTGACGCGCGAGGAGGCGGCGAGGACAGGCGAACCGCTCATCTTCCCGCCGCCCGACAACCCCTACCAGCGCCACCACTACGTGGCCCGCACGTTGGGGACGAAGAACGCGCTCGGCTCGGTGTACCAGGTCTATCGCGACGCGCGCACGGATCAGCTGTCCCTCCTCGTCCGTTTCGGCGGCGCCCTTTCCGGCCTGCTGCCCGATGTCGTCCACTCGGGCGCCGTGGCCACGGTGATGGAAGAGGCCATGGCGCGCGTCGCTGGTCGCCGTCTCCTCGTCCCGGGCCCGCACGGCGAGGGGAAGTCGTGTGCGGTCCCGTCCACGGCCTACCTCGAGATCGACCACCTGGACGTCCTGTACCCGAAGGACATGGTCGTCGTGCGCATGGCGCCTGCTTCGGCTGAGTGGGTTGCCACGCGAGAGGCACGATTGCGGGGGGGGAAGAAGTGGGTGGCCCCGGATAGCGGTGGGAACCCTGGCCCTCGGTTCGCGCCCGATGCTCTTGATGAGTTTCTGTATCCCACTGCTTTCCGGAAGGACGATGGGAAGCAGGCGTCGGGGGCTACGACAGCGACGACGACACCCGAGGATGATAAAGATGTTGCTGCTACCTCTCGCAAGGTATGGATCACGGCCAAGATGGTCAAGGCTGATACGGGAGACGTGGTATGTGAAGCTACGGGACTGTATGTTGTGCCCAAGGGGACGGAGCCGAAGCAGATGAATCCTTACTGGTGAGCCAATATATCGTACTGCGGGGCTGTAAAGGGTTTGGGGCTGGGATTCATTCATATGCATGGAAAGAACATGGAAAAACATGGAAAGAACATGAAAATAAGTAAGGTATAAGGTACAGGAGGTAACCTGATGATGCCATTGTACAAGGTACCATTCCGTAGCTAGGTACGGTACCTTTGCCTCGCGGCATATTTGTTAGTTAGGTACGCTTCTCTGTGCCAGTCACTCTTCTCATGGCCCGTGTCTCTCGTTATCCGTATTTCGTACCTCCTCCACTTCACCTAGTCTTCGTGACCTCCAGAAAAGCAATTTCTCGTACTACATCCGTGGGGCCAGAGGCGAAGACAAAAGCAATCCCTGGTCTCCGAAGTAATCCATTACTGACCCAAATGTGGAAATAGAAGGTTGGCTGGATCTTTTCGCCCATCCTGGCCTTGGGCGTCTCGAATCCGCAGCTGAGGTAATTAATTACAACGTACATAAGGTACCTTAAACCCAGCTCAGGTAACGGAGTATCAGGTACCACTACGTGTCGAGGCAGGAGGCTGCCTTTAATTATAGGTAAGGTTGATGGGTGAATGGCGGCCTTCCGAGACCCGTCTTGATTGGTTACCCATTTTTTCCCCGTTTCTTGCTACCTTAGGTGTAGGCACTAGGTAGGTAGTGGATATACAAGAGGCTTGGCATTGAAATTGTTAGGCAAGTACTTTATTCCACAGTATTGTCCACGGCACCTAAAGGGAGCCTTGCCGAGTCATTATTTATCAATCTTATCAGCGTGCACTGTGTCGTTGCGGCGGAGTTGGCCGTGGCCGGGGTACATTTTACCCCCCTCATTCTTCATTCTTCCTTCTTTCCTTGGCGCCAAGTGGTGTCCTTTCAATAGTGGCTGGGCAAGGCATGGGGTAGGTACTCATTATTGGTTCGGTCGGTGAGGCTGCGCGTCCAAACCCGTCCAGCAACTCAGAACTCGCCGCCGACTTCCACACTTTAACTCTCATCGAACGTATCCGTAGGCTCATCAACCGTCACGGCGGTTGCGCCCTACAGTCTCCGTACGTCTCTCTACCCACTAGCTTCGATATATAATACATACCCATTCTCCATCATCATACCGGGTCTATCGGTTTCGAGACCTGCCCGTCAGGTCCGTTCTATTGAGACCGTCCCGGCCTGGGATTCGGCGAAAACAGCGCAGCTCTCCAGCCCGTCCCGCCCCGACTCGTGTCATCAGCCTCGTTTTCCATGTTGTGGGCGGCCTCCTGACAACGGGTAGCCTACTATGGCTCCTCTCGGGGCCTCATCTGACGGCCACCTCGCCCTGCTGTCCGATGATGGAGAGGTCGAGGCGCTTACGTGGATCTCAGAACCCAAAGTCACATACAAACCCGAATCCGAATCGGAACCCAGCCTCGCCAGTCATGAATTGACAAAACGGTTACCGACCCTCGAGCGTCGGTCGAAGACCGCCACTCCTCTTTCGCAACGAGATACCATCATCAAGCCACGCGGTCTCCACAAAGGAGGAATTGCAGGAATAGTTATTGGCTGCGTTATCCTTGGATGCTTCGCTCTCGTCTGCCTCTACCCTTTGATCATCCGCCGCATCAAATATATCCGCCAAAAACGCCAGTCTTCCACCACAACCCCCGACGCCGAAACCCGAATCGAGACCACAGCCGTTTCCAGCACTGTCGATACTTGGGACAAAACAGAAGCAACAGCTGGCCATGGATCGCCGGCTCGTCCTTGTTCGAGGGAACTTCCCTCGCATGGGAACGACCCTGTGCCATTCCCACCCAGCAGAGAAGCCACCGTAAACTCCCGCCATACTAACCACGCAGCAGCCCAGAGCACCACGTCGAATGAAGCTGCGGCCCCTGGACATGTCCTGGAACGCAGTTCCAGCCTGGCAAGCGGGCGGCTTTCGGGTGCCTCGACCGGACAGGCGCCGAAATGGAACACAGAGGGACCACCGCCGCTCTCCCCGGGCGGCATCGAACTGGTGCCCACTCGCGCCGACGGTCTGCAGTACAGCGAGGCCATGGGCGGCCAAAGTGCGAGCTACTACAGTCCCACCGAACGGTTCGATCTCGGTATCACCTCGACGCCCATGACAGAAGAACCGGATCAGACCCCGGCAACGGCGAAACGGTCTAGTTCACGCGCGAGTTCGTTGAAGAACAATCTCATGTCCCTTGTGCGGCGGATGAGCAGCTCCAGAGATGCCGCCCTGACGCCGACGCTGTCATCGCCCACCACCGCCGAAGGGGTCGCCGCTGGTGGCGCGCCTGCTCCTCCAACGGCCTCCAGGTCTCTGGGATCTCCCGCCTTTGCTGCACCAGATGCCGGCGTCTTTGGCGGCCACATCACGGAGTCGCCCGAGATGCAGATGGTGCCGTCTTTTCTGGATTTCGGCGGCCCTTCAGGCCACGTGACCTCCGCCGTCCCGAGGACGACGGGTCCCCCTACCTCGACGGCAGAAGCCGCGCCCGATGTCCATGCCACGTACGACGATAGCCAGTACACTCTGGCAAAGCACGGAGGCTGGTGGCCTCCCGTACTCCCCCCGAGCAACCCGCCTCCGGGAACGATGAATCCCATGTCCCTGCATGCGTCCAACGAGTCTGAGCAGTTCTACGGCCTCTATTATCAGGCGTATTCGGAGGCCTCCTCACAGGCCTCCCCACAAGCCTCCCCACAGGCCTCCCCCCCCTCGTTCCCCTCACCTCCGTCACGACCTCCTGAACTCGCTTCCCCCAGCCATTCGCTAGATATTCCTCCATACTACAGCCCCCCTCCGCCGATACCCGAGGAGGAAGCCTCCCCGCCCACCATCGTCCAACAGGAACCAGGCTCGCAAGGCCCTGTCCCCGTTGCCACCTTCCCAAGCCCGGCGAACGGGAACTGGGGGCATTGGAACATGGTACAGGCTTCCGTTCACCATGGCTACTCTGGCTATTCTCAACCCACGCCCCAAACACACCGTCGCACCCCGTCATCGGACGGTCACTGGACCGAAGCCTCGAACCACTCCACACCAATGCCTAACCAGGGATCTGCGCCATCGGGCCTCGCGACGCCCAACACACAGTTGACAGAGGTCAGCCCGTCTCCAAACCTTTCGCCATATTATACAGATCCTCGCAACAGCCCCTCTCCGTACGGCTCACCGGGGGCCCCCGGGGCCCACGTTTGCGACCAATGTGGCAGGGCGTTCGACCAAGTCCATAAACTGAAGTAGGCTTTTCCACCCCGAACCCCTCGTCGTCTCTTTTGGATCATCTCTCTCTCTCTCTCTCTCTCTCTCTCTCTCTTGCTAACCCGGGCATGCAGTCACCATCGACGCTACCATGATCGACCACATAAGTGCAAGTATCAAGGCTGCGACAAGCAGTTTGGCACCAAGACTCACTTGGAGCGACACGTCAACGACAAGCACAACAAGCTGCGCAAGTTCCACTGCCTGGAGCCTACTTGCCCGTACTCCAAGTTGGGAGGCAAGGCGTTTCCCCGCAAGGACAACTGGAGGCGACACATGATCAACCAGCATGGGATGAGCCCTACGGCTGATCCCGAGCCCGATCTTGCCGATGAGGCTATGTGGGGGGTTAGATGAGGACACACACATACATAGTCCCCTGTAAGGATCTATATAGACCTCACGGCAGAGAGGGGTACGGTTGCTGGCGGGAACCCTGCTCTCGTCCCCAGATTCTTCCCAGGATGACGATCGTTGTTCGAGAAGAGGTGGGACAGCAAGTAGTAGCAGCTTGGGTGGCTGGGTATGTTTCGTTGCGTATAAAAATCCGGGTATCGGGCTAGGACATGAACGGGACGGTTTATATTTTGTTTTCTGCCGGGGAGGTGGTAATCCGGGTCTGCCGATGTGTGAAGCGAGGAATAGCTCACCGAGGGCAAACCCAGGCAACCAGTTCTGGGCGTTTGGGAAGCGTTGTGAATAGCGGCGACACACACCACATACAATGTATAACTTATAACTTATATACGCAGACTCTCAAGGCCAGTACAGTCTTGGACGTGCAGCACATGGAAGACATGGAGAAGCAAAAACAGACATGACCTTGTTTCACGTGCACAAGTCATCAAATGTTAGTCGAGAACGAAAAAAGAAAAAAAAAAGACCAGAGGGGGGGGAAGGTCGCGTGTAGCTTTTTTTCAGCTCAAATCTTTCATCAATTTCCGCACAAGCTTCTTCTGCTGCTCGACGGATAGCTGCTCCTTATCCGCCGCCTGGATGGCGCGCCCCACAGCAATGACCGTCTTCACGCTCTCGCTATTGACCCAGATCCGACCATTCCTGCCCACCGCGGTCTCGAAGGCGGCACCGAGGGCGCCCAGCTCGTCGAGGACCACGACGCCGCCGTCCGAAGCGGGCCGGGCCATGAGGAGGCGGCGGGACATGCCGAGGGAGATGTGGAAGAGCATACCGTTGACGAGGGGACCCAGGCCGTCGGCCTTGCCGGTGGTCGGGTTGACGCATTCCAGTTCGGCGTCCATGTGTTTCCGGGCCGAGACGACGCGGGCGTAGACGAGCGAGCCGGGGGGGAGCTGCGGCCGGTTCTTCTTCGAGGCGAGCTCGAAGGCCATGTGGGGGAGGAGGGTCGGGGCGGAGTAGTCGGCTAGATGGACTTGGAAGGCGTCCATGGTGGAGCGGTGTACTGTGCCTATTACTAGGTCGCCTGGTGAGGGGACGTACTATAGGGGAGGGAGAGGTTTTGGTTAGTTCCGAGGGCGGCAAACTAGGTGTTTGTTTGGAGAGGGAGGATAGAGCAGGGCATTGAAAGGGCACGGCAAGGCGGGAGGGAAGGTCATACCCGTCCACCAGCATTCTCAACCCAGATTGTGTTCTTCTTCGGATCTGTGATAATCTGGCCGGCAATGACAGGAACGATTTTATTTGGAGGGACGTGTCGGAGGCCGGGGCCTAGACGAAGTGGGAGCTTTTTGTGTGAAGGGATGAGCGAGGGGTCGATTTCGTCCCCAGGCATCACGAATGTTGCCGTTGTTGATGAAGCCATGATGGGCGGCGGCTGTTGTGACAATTATGAGGATTTGTTCGAAATTCTGTACCACGTTCGTTACGTTCTCGTTGGATGGCGATCAGACATATCGCGGAGGATAGGATAGTCGCGATGGATGATTCAGATAAAAAGCTGGTTTAGAGCGGATGACAGCCTCGTGGTTGTCAGCCTTGCAGAAGTCGATGGATCAACACGGCGACTGACTGCGGAAGGAACCTGAAAAGGTTGTGGTGTGGTGGGGGAGGGACGGGATCTTTTGTGCTGCTAATTAGATCACTTCAGGTACCTGAACATCTGAGATACGTACCTAGCCACCCTTTGTCTGATGTGGTACAAGTACTTGTACCTTCTCTATATGTAGTGTACAACCTTTTAACCCCGGGCATCTGTCCTGTCCCTACGTTACCTTATCGGTCCCTCTTCACCGATAACAGTTTTTTCCCTTTTTTTCTTCTAAAAATTTCCCATGTCCGAAAAAAACCCCACCACCATCCACCAGCTCGACTTCTGCTACATTACCACTCTTACCGCTTTCCAACCCATCCTCCCTCTCCGACCTATCAAGCCCAGTCATATTTACCTTTCCACTGGGAAAACGGTCTTCGATTTTTCACCAGTCATTTTCCCATCTTAGTCTCCAGTTGCCCTGCTTCTCCCGATGGCTGAGACAGGTTCACGCCCTGCGCCGGGCGACCGCACCGTGATCGGCTTGGTCTTTGGCAATTCTAACAGCTCTATTGCTTATACTCTGGATGAGAAGGCCGAGGTCATTGCCAACGAAGACGGAGGTGAGAGAGAACCCGTTTTGCGTCGCTGGAGGCCTTGCCATTTTTACTGCTCCTAGTTGAACCCATGTTCTGATTTCTGACCTCGGTGCTCTCTACTCTACCAGATCGCCAGATTCCTACCGTGCTCTCCTACGTTGACGGCGACGAGTACTATGGTCAACAAGCCAAGGCCTTCCTCGTCCGGAACCCGAAAAACACCATTGCTTACTTTAAGGAGTTTGTTGGTCAAGAGTATGCACAACATCGTTCCCATGAAAATGACCTGACGGCCCTTCCGTCCCGACTCATCACCGATTCCTCCGAGTCCCTGTTCCTAGGCTAATGGTCAATTTGTCTCTTTCCAGCTTCAAGTCCATCGACCCCACTCATAACCACGCCTCGGCCCACCCTCATGATGTGGACGGCGTCGTCTCATTCACCGTCAACGACAAGGAGGAGGCCGTCGAGCCGTCGACCCTGTCCGTCTCCGAAGTCACCACGCGCTACCTCCGTCGCCTGATCACCGCCGCCTCCGAGTACCTCGGCAAGACGGTCACCTCGGCCGTTATCACCGTGCCCACCGACTTCACAGACAAGCAAAAGGCCGCGCTAATAAAGGCCGCCAACGACGCCGATCTCGAGGTCCTCCAGCTCATCGCCGAGCCCGTGGCCGCCATCCTGGCTTACGACGCCCGGCCCGAGGCCACCGTCGAGGACAAGATCGTGGTCGTCGCTGACCTCGGCGACACTCGCTCCGATGTGGCCGTCGTCGCCTCGCGCGGCGGCATGTACACCATCCTCGCCACCTCGCACGACTACGAGTTCGCCGGCTGCCACCTCGACCAGGTCCTCATCGACCACTTCGCCAAGGAGTTCATCAAGAAGCACAACACCACCGACCCGCGCGAGAACGCCAGGAGTCTCGCCAAGCTCAAGCTCGAAGCCGAGTCGACCAAGAAGGCGCTCTCCCTCGGCACCAACGCCAGCTTCAGCATCGAGAGCCTGATCGAGGGCATCGACTTCACCTCCACCATCAACCGGTTACGCTACGAGATGTCGGCCCGCAAGGTCTTCGAGGGCATCAACCGCCTCATCGAGGCCGTCGTCAAGAAGGCCGACCTCGACGTCCTCGACATCGACGAGGTCATCCTCTCCGGCGGCACCTCCCACACCCCGCGCATCGCCAACAACCTCGCCGCCCTCTTCCCGGAGTCCACCACCATCGTCGCCCCCGCCACCTGCGCCACCGCCATCAACCCCTCCGAGCTGCTCGCCCGCGGCGCCGCCCTGCAGGCCTCCCTGATCCAGGAGTACGACGCCGAGGACATCGACCAGTCCACCCACCCGGCCGTCTCGACCGTCAAGCACATCGCCAACGCCCTCGGCGTCGTCACCCTCGCCGCCGACGACGCGTCGTCCGAGTCCTTTACCCCGATCGTCCCCGCCGAGACCGCCGTCCCCGCCCGCCGCGTCGCCCGCATCGCCGGCCCCAAGAACGGCGGCGATGTCCTGATCCGCGTCGTCGAGGGTGGCGCCCACATCAAGGTGACCAAGCCCGAGCCCAAGCAAAAGGCCGAGACGAACGGCGCAAAGGATGAGGACGACTCGGACGACTCGGACGACGACTCCTCGGACGAGGACGACGAGGAGGAGGAGAAGCGCGAGAAGGTCTGGAGGATCGGAAACACCGTCGCGGAGGCCGCCGTCCGCGATGTCAAGAAGGGCAGCCAGGTCGAGGTGACCCTGACCGTCAACGCCGACCTCAGCGTTATCGTTACGGCGAGGGAGATTGGCGGGAAGGGCGGCGTCCGGGGTGTGGTCAAGGCGCCGTGATTTTCTTTTGTCCCAAGACAAGGCATTGTAGGGACCCATTCGGCCCGGGCGCGATATGGGAATGGATTTAACTGATTTGTATCACGAAATGAGGGTAGGATGTGGATCACACGTTGTGATGAAGGCATATAGACCCGAACTCGGTTGTCCTGTGTACCGTGCAGTGAGGTTCTAATCTGCTTTGGTTCGGCTGTTATTAGGTCGACAACGGTAGGCGATAAAAGGAGGGAGGAAATCTATAGAATAGAACAGTTCTGCGGTTTATGAATTCCCATGAGTCTCCCGTGGCATTTTCGAGTGAAATGGTCAACATCCCCTCCGAATTTCCTTGTCCTGTCTAGTATATATAGTGATATTAGTGGCGCGGTGGCGGCGTCTTTGCAGATGGGAGCAGAGAACTTGAGTGTTCCAACGCCCGTGGAACCAAAAAAAAAAAGAAAAAAGAAAAGAAATTTGACGCAACTAACACCGTGCCTGCTTGTTTAACCGATGTCCATGGGTGTCAAAACACAAGAGACCAAGGTATGTATATATATTTGCAAATGTCGGTGGCGGAGGAAGCGACAAGTTCACTTCACCTCGCCCGGCAAACTCCACGCGATCATGTCGTCTCTCACATCAAGCTCCCGCAGCTCCCTCATCCGACGATACGCACCGTCGTGCGCGCCGACGGCGGCAGGCCCGTCGCTGCTGCCACTACCGAGGGTCGGGGCCAGGCTCGTCATGCTCTCGCTACGACTGCGGGCCGGGCTGAGGAGGTCATCGCGGCTGTCGGCGAGGGCATCCCCTCGGCGGCGGCGCGTGAGACTACTACTCCTGCTCCCCTTCCCGCTGGGGCTGGGGCTGGGGCTGGGGCTGCGGAAACTGTAAGGGGTGCCGGCTGTGCTGCTGCTGGGTCCGTATGGATGGTGGTATTGGTTTGCCAAAGAATAGGCGAAGAAATCGGGATCGCGTCCGGTGACAGTGCTGGCGCTCTTATCGCTCGTGTTGCTCCCGTGACGTCTGTGATGACGGCTTGGGGAAACCGCGCCAATGGTAGCAGAGGTAGGGGTGCCATGGCCGTGACCGTGACCGTGGCCGTGGAGGTAGGCGGACGCCTGAGCCAGTTGTCGTCCCACAAACTTGCGGTAGTCGCCGGGCCTGAGCGTGTCGCCGCCCATGCTGCCGAAGATGGAATCATCGTCGCCGCTCACATCGGCACTGGCGTCGAAGCCGAGAGCCCGTTTGCGGCGGAAAGCGCGCTGTTCGTTCGGACCGCTGCTGCCGGTACTACGGTCACTCGTTTGCGAGGGTTGTCTTTGGGGCAGCTGAGACGGGGGTGGGTCGAAAGAGGGTGGGTCGAAAGAGGAAGGCGAAGGCGTCGGCCAGCCGTCGCCGCCGGCGAAGATATTCTCAATACATTCATCGGCGGAAAGCTCGCCGGGGTGTCGAGACCAGGAGGCGGCGAGAGACTTGCGGTACATATCTTGAATCTCGGCCTGGTCGCGAGATTTGGCAAGAGTGGGGAGTTCTGGCCGGAAGGGGGATTAGTTAGTGGTCCGAATGGGTTGCTTTTGAGGGGGGAGGGGGCGGAGAGGAGAGGAGAGGAGAGGAGAGGAGAGGAGAGCTTACGGCCTGGGTCGACCTGTTCGACCTGTTCGCCGGCCATAATGCCAGCGATGCCGCCAAAGACAGGGGCGGTCTTCAGGGGAGGGGCGACAAAGTTCCTGTCGCCGTCAACGTGGACCATGAGGATGCCGATCTTGAGGGTGCTGTTGATCTTGCTCTCCTGCATCAGGTAGCGGCGCACGATGCCGTCTTCCACGTCGGCGTCCAGGCCGTCGAAAGTGACGGGGGTGCCGCTCGAAGAAGCCGGTCTCGAAGACACGGAGGCAGAGGGAGAGGCGGAGGTGGTGTTGTTCGTGGCCATTGCGGCCACGGTGGAAGCACCGGCGGCGCTTTGCTTCCGGAAATGACCCCGGCTGGAGCTGTTGCTCTCCCGGCTGAGGCGAGGAGCGACCTCGCGGGGACGCGCCTCGCTCTCGTCGATATACTCGCTCAGGTTGAGCTTGACGACGCCGAGTGAGATTTTCTCATCGCGGCCCCCCCCGCCGACACCACCGGTGGGGAACTCTTGGAGCACCTCGAACTCGATGGGACACTCGGTCAAATTGTTGTTCTTGTCGACGCTGATACGGATGTGGCCGACAATGGCGGAGTAATTATACTCAACCTTGTGGTTGACGATGGAGCATTTCGGAGTGCGGCCACGGTGGTCCGCATGGATGGAGTGGGAAAGATGCCATTTTATGTGGGAACATCCAGATACCAGAGGCACATTGTTGAGATCGTAAATCTAGGCAGAGATCAGCCTCTCCTCCTCCTGGAGGGTGAACATGTTTGTTGAGTTGTGTGTTCGTAGTGGATTCTCTTTGACATACCTTGAGATGTAGCTCGAATTTTGGCTGCGGCAGAAAGGATTCGGAAGTCAGCCAAAGGGGTGGTCACATGAAGAAGGGCAGTGAGGGAGAGAGAAGAAGAGAAGAAGAGAAGAGAAGAAGAGAAGAAGAGAAGAAGAGAAGAGAGAAAAAGAAAAGAAAAAAAGAAGAAAAAAAAGAAGAAAAAAAAGAAGAAAAAAAAGAAGAAAAAAAAGAAGGGATAAAATCACCTTACGCCCCTTACTGACTGTAGACAGGAGGTTGAAGTTAGTAATGGTTTTGAGAGATGTCATGACATCAGCCAACGCATTGTTGAACGATGTGGGTGTGAGTGGTGTAGAATGGTGACGGTGACGGTGACGGTATGTGGTTGGCGTTGAGGGTGAGAGAGAAAGAGGTCAAGCTTGAGAGGGAAGGGTGATAAGGTGTGAGGGTGGGTATGCGACTGTCCGAGTATGTACACTTATGCGATGGGAAATTGGCACGTGGCCAAAGTGAGGGTATTTCCAGGCCAAGTCAGTAACGTAGGAAGGGAGGGAGAGGAGAGAAAAGAATGTCAAGCCAGAATAAAGGGATGTATCGAAGGAGAAGGGAAGAAAGAAAAGGAACAGAAGGGAGAGAGCAACTGTCAACATGCTTACTCAATGAGGTCATGTCTCGAAACTCCGAAAACCCGAAGCGTGCATGGCTGGAGACTGGAGAGGAATGGGGAAGGGCGGACGATAACGGGCAGAGATACGGCCGCACCTCTCCCCTGGTTGGTGTCGCAACCTGCGGCGTTGGAGGCTGGACGGTTGAAGGCGTGGGAGAATGTCTGGACTAGATGCAGACAAGTAAACCCCTGACCCTCCCTCCTTCGCCTGGAGATATGCGAGGCAGGGAAAGATCTGGACTCCCGGGGTGATTCGTTTTAGTTGGAGTCGGAATCGGCGGGATGGAGGAAGCCGAGACGAGAGAATGGGTCAAAGCACCACCGCTAGATGAACGATGGCTTTTGCCCTTTGCTTTTTTTGTCCTGGATGTCTTTTTTTTT